TGTTGCACATGTTGTAATGGTTGTACACGTATGTTTCAAGTGTATGTTACAAATGTTTCATCTGTTCCAGACGTATGTTGCAAGTGTTTTATCTAGATGTTGGAAAAGTAGATCTGGATGTTGCATATACATGCATGTTGCAAGGATATGTTTTTAAGTGTTTTCAGGTGTTTCAGAAGAAGTTGCAAAAAAAAACATTGAACATCTAAGCTAGCTACTCAGTCTAAACTTTCTCCATTTTTTTGAAAGACCGTCACTCACTGCTTCCATATTGTCTTTGTTTTTTTTTTTGAAAAGGTTGTTGTTTTAATATTTAGGGCATGTTTGAATTCTCTGATCTAAAGTTTAATGGCTTAAATTGAGGACTTGAACTTTAATTTAGACCACTTTTGCTCACTTGTGTGGTCTAAAGTTTTTGTGATGCTGGCTAAACTTTAGACGGGATTTTAGACCATTTGTTTAGAACCTCCAGAGCTAAAATAGTCTAAAGCTTAATGCATAAGCTTTAAACCATGCGATACAAACAGTCATGCACATGACCAGGACCAATGGTTTCTCCGTGAACTAACCCAAAAAATTGGGTGGGGACTATTCCCACCATGCACCTATGGGCACCCACTGTGGATTCTTGCCACGTGTCTATACATAACCATCCGTCAGATCAAATTATATATATATATATCTTTTTCGATATTAAATTTATAAATGATGGGGAGATTTTTCCTTTTCACCAAAACGAAAAGGCATAAAGCATAAATCTTTTTCACCAAAGGGCGCATTTTCATATATTTTTATAGTGTGGGTAGTCTACACCTTACCAAATAAGAATGTTTAAATCTTCTTTTTGTATTATGAGTGTGTGCATCATGATTTGGATTTTATAGTGAGTTTGACTCATGCACCGAGTCTACCATCTGAAACACATTCGACATGGCATTTGGTAACCGGTTATGTGTTTTAAAAATGAGTTCTATGCTTTTTAAGCAGAGTTTCGTGGCACATGGTACAAACTATGCATTATACTCTTGCTCACCCACACACGCGCACAGTTATTATTACCAAAATACAGTAATCTTGAAAATTCAACATTCGAAAGTATCTTTGGTTGCGTTTCAAAAAAAGAAAGTATCTTTGGTTGTTTTGAGTTTACCATGATGATGGAATGATGGGTGACATTGTAAACTCGAATCAATGAATGGTAGTGCATTCCATTGACATTGTATTTGTATAATGGCGCACTTGAGTCGTGACACAGGTTAAACAACAATTTAATTGACGCTTTAAGTAAAGAAATTTTCTTGCGTGCTTGATATTACGTGTGTTTTGCTAATGTCAAGCTTAAGCACTTTGGGGCATGTTTAGATTCCTCAGCGGTGCTCGCCTTGCCTGGCTGAGCAAAGTTCACAGTATTTGGTTTCTTTACCGTTCTGTCTTATGTTACCCGCGCTTTCAAGATTTCTCCTTCCCGCTCGAGAGAGCCAATTTAGCTCACCTCCGCTGGCTTAGCCGAGCGAGGCCAGGCGAGGCAACACGGTGAGAAATCCGAATACGCCTTTGGTTATGAGTCGAATATTGTGCAGGCAATCAAAACAAAGATGGAGGAAACAGTAGAGAAAAAGAATGAAATTACTGAATCATAAACGTAATATGCATACTAACCGCAAATATACGGCAAGGGTTGCTCGTCGTCGTCGGAGCAGTGGCACCAGGACACGTCGTGGGCGACGTTGATCCGGCACTGGCCGCCGCTCGCGGTGCAATCCCCGCAGCCGTCGTCCGTGTACTCGAGCAGGAATCCACGCTTCAACAGGCGCTGATAGTCCGCCCCCGTCGCCCCCTCGTATCCCAGCACCGGCATCATCGACAAGTTGCAGTTCGCCGGCAGCGGCATCGCTGGACTGGTGTCGCCGGGCGTGTAATTCCCAGCGAGCAACGCAAACGACTCGGACGAGTCATCCTCGTCCGTGCAGTTCACGGGCGCCCAAGAATGAGGCGCATGCCGTTCCCGTTGGTCGCAGCCGTAAACGAAGAACAGCTGCAGGTTTTGGGAACTAATCGTGAAGGGCGCGAGGCCGAGGTCGGTGGAGGCGTCGGAGACGAGCTCGAAGTTGCAAGTGCCGTCCGATAGGTCCACGTTGGTGGCTAGTATGAACGAGCTTTCGTCGTAGGATATGTTCAGGATCTGGTACGGCCAGAACGAGTTCTTGAGGGAGGCGTTGCCCCTGTCGCAGGTGACCTGGAAGGCCTTGTAGCCGCACTCCGGCGGATGCGTGCCGGTGAGCCAGAACGGGTAGGTGATGTTGAGGCCGCCGCACGACGCCGGCGGGCAGGACGGCGTCGTCGTCGTCGTTGTCGTGTTTTGGGCGGCAGTGGTTGGAGTGGGACTGACTACCAGGGTGAGAAGCAGCAGCATGGCTGGGCAAAGCAGGGCAGGTGTTGGAAGGCACGCACGCATCTCTGCGGCAGGAGATAGCACCGAGGGACGATCGAGGAAGAGACTGAGACGAATGCGATTTGGGAAGAACACAGAGAAGAAGATGATGCATGCGGCGTGGAAGGCGCAGTGGATGTTGCGGAAGCCGAATCAGTTAGCTGACCGGTCCGAGCTTGGCTTCTCTGCTCTGGGTGGTGACCGAGACGCTGGAGGAGGTCAGGAGGCTTTGCTGAGCAGGACGCTGATGTGGACCTCAATTGGTGGAAGCAGGCCCGACATGTGGGTCCATATGCCGTGTGGCCCATTGGCCAGCGACCCAAGATCTGTTTGGTGAGGATAGTGCTGAAACATCTTTTAACTAGAACAAAAAGAACGTGTCTGCTAGTCCAAGCTGATGACTGAGGTCTGAGGAGTCTGATGAGTATGTGGATTAAGTGTGGGTCGCTCTGAAGACTGTACGTGTTACCAATTACCATTACCACTTTCTCAGCGAAAACGAGTGAAGACTGAAGATTAGTACGTACGTACGTGGAATTTTGGGAGTGGAACAAATCACGCGTCGTGCCTCTTGGGTGAAAAGAGAACTCGACATCGGGAGACGACGCTTGCATGTTAAGTCATCGTGCATCGCGCGTCGCGTTTGGAGACGATAGATGAGTTCGTAGAATCTTAGAGTTGTGGAACCGGAACAATTAAGTTGCGCGTCGCCTTCTTTTTCCCGGAGTTTACTCGACGAGAAAACTCGAGACTGGGTGGGATAGGTGCTTACATGTTTAGAAGTCACTGTGCATGTTTAAAGTCCCGGACGTTCACATCGCGTCGCAGCTCCACTTCCAGTCGAACTAGTCAAGCAGGAGGCCAACTAGGCCAAGTGCGAGCAGCTGAATCGAAATTTCGCATTCGATCCTTTTTTGTTTTTTACCCTCACCAGACGAGCTGGAAAACGGGAGTAGTTGCATACTACTCCTACGATAGTGATAACTGAAGTCGGGGCGTGCATTGACACCGGTTTGGTTGCCTGCAACCGCAACAGCTGGGTGAATGGACCCAATGGGGCACATACGGATTACGGAGCTGGGTGTGGTAATCTGAGTCGATGGGATTTCCTATTTTTCAGCAAAGCGGCCCAAAGACTCACAGCCTTACCCTCACTCGCGTGATCCTCCAGAGGTGATGTGTTCATCGTTACCTACTCCGCCTGTATCTAACTAAAGTGGCATACGCCGCACGACGCCACAAGGTTTGGGGTATGCATCTTAAGGTCATGTTCGCTTCGCTGAAAAGTCAGACTAAAAAGTATTATTCACTGATTTGTTGTGAGAGAAAAATATTAAGGTGATATTTTTATCGTTACCTACTCCGCCTGTATCTAATTAAAGTGGCATACGCCCCACGACGCCATAAGATTTGGGGCATGCATCTTAAGCTCCATTGGATTTCACCTAGCCCAATTGGCGTACAGTCTCCTAGGATACCTATCTTTAGTTTGGTCACCCAACTAGTTCTTTATTTTCTCCATTTTTTTATCATGTGACTTACTTGTAAGCCTGCACTAAATACCGCATACATGTTCTCAACAGTGGACATAGAAACTATATATCACTAAAAAAAATAAAAGTACAATTTTTAATGGAAAATAATATATTGTTTATCAGTAGAAACATTGAAATTCGCTAATCCTGATTGGAATCTCATTATAAGCTATCATATTCCTAGAATATTACCAACCTACTTCCCCACGTTTTAACCAGTGGTCTAGGTGTCTTTTCTCATTTTCCCACCGTTATCTTCTATCTTTGTCGACTCCATCAATACTTTCTTCGACCTTACATTATTTGAACACACACCATTCAGTATATGTTATACCACAAGTCCACAACTAGACTTCCGGCGCCTATAGCCATGGCGTGTCTGCATGATCCACCTTCCAACACATATTGTTTCTAGGTATTCGACAACCCACAAATCCTAAAACTCGACCCGAATGACCATAAAGGTAATATGCTAGGGTTTGGGGTTTGGACTATTTGTCAACCCACAAACCCTGAAACACAACCCCTGATGGGCTAATGATCACCGAAGGTAATGTATCGCAGTGCTAACTCGTTGAGCACCATGATCATAGTGCTAGGATTTCGACTCGGAGTACAACATCATAGTGTGCTAGCAGTGACTACTGTGGTGATTTGCTCTTTGGGTTGCCTAGGGTCAATAAACCGAAATAGATGTGATAGGGAATGGACCAGACAACTGACAAGGTAAAATCTTAGTGCCTATTTGACACGGCTCATCTTCCAAAAGTTCCACAGTAACCGGAGCTAGAAAAGAAGTCTCTAGAAGTAGCTCCCTCATAAAAAAACAGCTCCAGCTCCTCTTTTAGAAAAAAAAACACAGCTCATCCTCTTTGGATGTTTGGTATGGCTTTTCTGCTAAAGCTGCTAATTGTGACCGGCTTGAGAGAGGTCTCACGTCTCAAGTCCACCGGAGACCGGACCTTATACGGGCTAAGGCCCAGTGTACTTGGGCCTTCCTTTATAGTTTGCCTGACTTGCTGTCAGGCCAAGTCTTAACTACGCGTCTCGGAGAGCTCCATATTGTTAAGCCCATTTATAATTAAACCTTGACGCAGCAAAAATCTAGGAAATCTCTATAAAAAAAACGCCTTGAGGAGAGCAATATATGCATGCGTACAGCGTACCTGGAGTTTTCGGAGGAATCCACGCTGGGTTCGCCGCAGCCCGGAAGCACGCGAAGGTCCACGGCCCGTGCCCCTCCTGCCGACGACGGCGGCCGCACAGGCCGCCGGCTCTCTCGCACTGTCCGCACTCCCCGTCCGTCTCCGGCCTCCAGCTCAGCTCGAACCCCATGTTGAGCGCGGGCACGACGGCGTCCAGCGGGCTGGTGGACGACCCCGCGGCGCCGAGCAGGGACCTCCGCAGCACGGGCATGCCGATGACGCTCTGGCACAGCCCTGCGTAGCCGTACGGCGCGAGCTCGTCGCCGTCGCGGAACACGTACGAGTGGTGCCTGCCGTCGCCCTCGAGGCACGCCACGAGGTGCGCCGGGATGCCCACGAAGGAGCAGTGCACGAAGAAGGTGAGGTTGGCGTCCCGGGGCGTGAGCGACAGCGGCGACCCGGAGGGGAGGGACAGGTTGCGGCCCACCAGCGGGCAGGTGTTGGACAGCGAGAACACGCCGAGGTCGAACAGCGACAGCGTGCGGTCGCCGTACATGATGTGCGTCACGGCGTAGTCCCCCGACGGGAGCGGCAGCACCGGCGTCTCGCGCCGGCACTCCAGGCGCAGGCTCGGGTACCCGCAGTGGGAGGATGACGACGACGAGGAGGAGGCGTTGCCGGCGCTCGCGCTCGCGCTGCCGTCGTCGTCGATCCAGAACGGGTACCGGATGTCCACGGTGTGGCCGCACCGGTACGACGGGCACGACGATGACGACGACGTGGTGGAGTTCGGGATTATCCGCTCTGTGGCTGCAGAGGCCACGGCGAGACTGGAGAAGAAGAGCAGTACGAACAGATGCAGAGGAGATCGTACTAGATGATGCATTGTTGATGATTGTTGTATTGCACTTGCACGAGTATTTTTGTGCATGTCCAACCAGCATTGCAGAGAAGAGCAGTGTATGTATGTTTTTGCCCAAAATTTGGGTCCCCTTGTTGCTCAAGTCGGAGATCATGCAAAATTTCGCACTGGATGTACCTTGCGCGACTGACTCCCTGTTCTGCGGATGATTCAGATTCACACAAGGTGTGTGAACGTCCAACGGAAGATTACCAAAGCATTTGTCCTGGAACGGATGTAGTACACAAAAAATGTATAATTTGGGTATGCAAAAAAAAAAGGTCTTGGTTCGCTGACTGAAAGATACAGTATTATGCTTTCTACTTTATATATTCTGAAAATGAAATAGACTGGTCTTTTTGTCTGCATGTCAGCAGAAGCCATGGCCAACAACCTGAAGGTGTGGGAAGTCACACAAAGTTTGTTGTGCTTGTGCAGGTGTAAACATGGAAATGTCGCGAAAAGATTCCTCCAATCGGAAGTATGCAGCACGGCATTCCATCTTACGTGTACAGCAATATGATACCAATATTTTCGGTGAATGCTAGATGTTTCAGTTGGCGCAGAAGCTGAATTCTCTATCATCCATATGACCTTTACAGGGAAGCTTTCAGCGAGACAAATTTTCTGAACAAAAACACTCACTTCCAGAAATGCATCAATTTACAGGTTACCTAACCTAATAAGCGATAGAGCACACTGCACACAGGTCACTGACATGCTTCTTTTCTGACTGAATCCTCAACTGCTGTTATGGGTAGTGGTGGATGGGCTGGTCCACTGATACATGACGGAGTCCGGCGAGCCGTCCCTGCTCTTCTTCAGCAACCCCATGTCATCCTTGGCCTTGACGGCGCACCCATCCTGCTCCATCCTCTGCGCCTCTCTCAGCGCGTCCAGCACCTCACTGATGGGCGGCCTGACGTCCTGCTCCGGCTGCAGGCACCGGAACGCCATCTCGGCGACGAGGTCCACGGCGCGCTTCGTCCCGCCGTCCGTCCGGTACCCGATCCGCGGGTCCACGAGGCTGTCGATCTCGTAGCACTGGATCATGTGCACGGCCATGCTGGCCAGGTTGACGTCGCCGCCGCCGCAGGCGCGGGCGCGGCTCATGTCCACGGCGGGCCTGGAGGAGATGAGCTCCACCAGCACGACGCCGAAGCTGTACACGTCGCTCTTGTCGGTGAGCTGGTAGCACTGGTGGTACATGGGGTCGACGTACCCGGGAGTGCCCTGCGGCGCCGTGGACACGTGCGTGGCGTGCGCCGGGAACAGCCGGGACAGCCCGAAGTCGGCCACCTTCACGTGGAACGCCTCGTCCAGGAGGATGTTGTTGGTCTTCACGTCGCGGTGCACTACCTGCTGCGGCTCCACGCCGTGGAGGTACTCCAGCGCGCTCGCCGTCTCCACGGCGATGCCCAGGCGGACGGGCCACGAGAGCGTCAGCGGCGGCGGCGGCGCGGGGTCGGACCCCGCCGCCGAGGCCGAGGCCGAGGCGCGCGCGCCGTGGAGGTGGTCGGCCAGCGTGCCGTTGGGGACGTACTCGTAGACGAGGAGCAGGTCGCGGCTGCTGCTCGGCGAGGTGCAGCCGTAGAGCGTCACCAGGTTCGGGTGGCGCAGCCGCGACAGGATCTCCACCTCGTTCTGGAACTGCTCCACGCTCTTGTAGCTGTTCTTGTACAGCCGCTTCACCGCCACCACGTTCCCGTCCCGCAGAGTCCCTGCACACCGTCAACGTGCACGCCATTTCTTAGCTTTTTTTTACCTCTGATGAAACCATGCATCAGACAGTACTAGCTGAAACTGAAAACCCTGTCGTGCCTTTGTACACTGTGCCGAAGCCGCCGACGCCGAGCTCGCGTTCGTCGCTGAAGCCATCGGTGGCCTCGTCGAGCTCCTCGTAAGTGAAGATGTGCGTACGCGGCGACCCCGTCATGCTCAACTCTTTCCTGAGCGATGCCAATGGCGTTCCTTCACGGATGAGCCCGGCCAGTGACGCAGATCGCTTCCTCTTCCTTCGCTTGTGTAGCATGAGGAGAAACCCAATGCTCAGTATGATCACACACAGAAGAGCTGCTCCCATTCCTGCTGGTGACACCGGTTCAAACCCCAAGAATAACCACGTCATAAGTCATATAGTGAACTAATATGGCTCCATGGATAATTGCTGGTCAATTTCCACATAATTTAAAATTTCAAATAAGCAATTGTTGATCACCTTTTTATAATTTTTTACTTTTAATTAAATCCTAATATCTTTACTAAAAACGTACGAAGAGAGTAGAGAAAGTGAAAACCGTCCAGGGCAAGCCGCCTTTCTTTTTTAGAAAATGGAATTGTTTCCGGGGGCAAACTGTCTAGTTAGTCCTAAGTGAGGCCATGTTTAGTGCTGTTGAGGCATCGAATTTTGAAACAATGCCAAATCCAAGCATGCGCATTTGCACAATAAGGTCTGGCCTTTCATTCTGAGAATAAAGTTTTCATTACCTCCTGCAATTTTGAGCCCAAGACTCTTTGTGCCGCCTGCATGTTCAGAAAAGTTTCGTAAGGAGATGAGATCATGAGAATTAACCAACTCATAAAGTTTCAGAGAAATGAAAAAAAAAGATCTTTTTACTCTTAACAACGATCAGAGAAAAAAAAAATTGTTGCATGCCCCTTACTTGCCACATCATTACATCAGGGTCAACTGTTTGATTGTTTGTTGGAGTTATGCAAAAAACTCAAGTAGTATACTAATCTTCTGGATTACTCTACTCAACGACAAGTGCAACTCATTTAATTTGTCAGTGCAAGACAAAGTGAAGCTTTTGATAGGACATATAGTGATATAATAGTTTACATGAGTTGGGACAGCCGAGAAAGTAAAAGACAAAGACATGATCTCAATCTCAACCGAACAAGTAGACATCAAGATGACATTGCATCCAAACATGAGGCTAGAGCTAGACAAGTCAAAGGGGAAGCAGTATTCAAACATGAGGCTGGCATTGATTGTTTTATCTTGTTCGCGTCAAGTGCATCTTATCTACGACGAACAACACTTGTTGTTTTGTTTCGCTTGCTTGATGTCATAGTAGGAATTCAGGTTTAATGTAAAAAAAATGAATGAAGGTTTAATGCAAATTCACAAGAACAGGTAAAATAATGCAGCAATGGTGAGATTATGTCCATGTACTTAGTAATGTATTGCTTCTCCAATCCAAAGTACTCCAACACTAGGTAGTAGACGATGCTTACCACGGGAAGAAGTCGACGAATTGACGCATTGGAAGGAAAGCTCGAAGAACCTGCACTGCCCTCCTTTCAGTTTGCACGCATCGCAGTCTCCAAGCGTGGGCCAGTCCAGGAGGAAACCATCGCTGATCAATGACTCGTACACGGACTCACGAGTCAGGTTCATCCCATCTTGGAACCCGCGCACCGGCACGCTCGCGGAGCTGCAGTTCGCCTGAACCCACTGCGGCCGGCTGCTCTCCACGTCGCCCGGCCTCTCGGAGATGTAAGCTCCAACTTCGTGCTTGGCACATGGCCCTGTCAGCAGCTCGTTGCGAGGAATCTTGCAGTTGTAGACGAAGGTGAGGTCGTCCCTGTTGGTGGCGCTGATGTTGACCGGGAAGAGGCCGAGGCCAGAGGACACGTTGAAGTCCGGGATTCTACACGCCCCGTCGCCGGAGAAGGCGGTCTCCACCGCCACAAGCATGGAGCGGTTGTCGTAGGATATGCTGAGCACGCGGTACAGGTTCACCCTGAACGTCCAGCTGAGGTAGGCCCTGCCAGCAGCAGCGTCGCATGTCAGCCCGAAGGCCGGGTAGCCGCACTCCAGCGGATGCACGCCGGCGAGCGAGAACGGGTACGTGATGTTCAGGCCTCCGCATCTCGCCGGCGCGCAGCTCGTGTCGTTGCCGCTGCTGGTCTGGTTGGTGTCGGCGGCGGCCGTGGCCGTGGCTAAGCAGCCTAAGCGCAGCAAGGCGGAGAGGGGGAGCAGCAGCGCCACCACCGCCACCACGGCGGTCTGCATCGGGACTAATAACAGTGTGTCCGTGGTGGTGGTTCTTGTTCGCGTCTGCGCGGTGTGGGAGGTTGTGAAAAAGAGGGCGTCTGACGCACGCACGCACGCAGCTGCGGTCACGGTCAGATACTTGGACCGGAATTTGTTCCCAGGACAGTTCCGCCACGCACTTGCCACAGAAACCTCTACGCCCGGGCATTCTGCTCCTGCTGCAGTGTGCTGCGGCTCTGCCCTCCTTCGACGGCCGCGATGGAGCTTCGGATCATGGAGGCGGCTCGAGGACCGTTGGATCGGACGTAGAAGAAGGGTCTCAAACCAGGAGCATCGAAATCTCATGTCCCCAGTTCCGGCTCTGTTTTAGCTGTCTGCCTTTGGAGTTGAAGGTTCCGGAAAACTAATAACAGTGTGTCCGTGCATGTTGATATGCTCGCAGCACCAATCGTGTGAGTGCTTACATGGCCTCCACGACTGCAGTGTCCGGTGTATGCTCTGGGAGCAATGCTTCCCCACCACTACCAAGGGAAGGGAGTCGCCGGGGTCAGCTGCGGACAAATAACTAGCACCCGGGTGTGGTGTGGGCCTGTGGCCAGCGATTTCTCCGTTTGTTCACTGGACAGACAGGCTACTGAATAAGGCTGAAAACCGTGCACACGATCCTGAATTTTGGAGTCTCCGTCGTCGACTCTTCCGTTCCGTGGAAGCGACGGCGCCGCGGCATGGCAATGGCATGCGGTTGTTTACTTGTTTTTTCCCCAAACGCATACAGTACGTGCGTGCGTCTCCAGGCGCTCACCCGCTCCGGGTTCTGCTTCCCTTCCGCGCGGCGAAAAATCTCTCCAGACTGACCCTGGCGTTTGCGTTCTCATTTTCTTTTGAAATGCATGCATTGCCCATGCCCTTCTGGATGATGATGATGATAATGCAATGATAACAGTGAACGAACTTTGTTACCCTGTGGAAAAACTGCGCATCGGTGAAGACAAAAACTGGCATCGGGCGTACAACAAGTCCTCTCTTCTTCTTCTTTCTTCTTAATTTGTTAAACCAAGATCTCACATCTACATGGACTGGAAAATAGCACAGGAGAAATAACTGCTTCATCGGCTCATGTCATGGCTCCACCTTTTAAGAATCAGAAATGGAATTCGTGATGCTGGAAATGAAGGCCCAAGGTAGATTGAGGATGTTCAGTAAGTCATTTTTTTCCTGTTTTTGCTGTTACTAGTAGAGATGCACGTGCGGCACACACGTGTCTAAAAAATCTTTAAAATAAAAAAATGCTATAAAAATACTTTTGTATTAGTAAATTTCTATATGATACTTTTTCTTGAATTTGTATCTAAACTTAGAATAAAAAAACAATAATACTGAAAAAAATATGGCATCACTTATTTTCTTGGGTAATTGCATCCTCAACCTCAATGACAACAAGATTTTGCTCAATCAACAATACTGAAAAAAATATGGCATCAATTATTTTCTTGGGTAACTGCATCCTTGATGGCAACAAGATTTTGCTAAATGGGGATCTAAAAACTGCCATAGACCCTGTTCTTGCTCCTTTACCCTCTCCTTGAACATTCTAGGCACCTTGCCCATTCCTGAATGAGCATCAATTGAAATATGGGTGTCATTACTTGCACAATCTTGACACGCAGACACTGTCAGCACTTAAAAATGGGCATAAAAGGAAATGCATAGAGACATGCGCATATATACTGAATGTGCAAGTAATGACATTGAAGTGGTCGATCTATAATCTAAAGATATGATTCGGTGTGGCCAGCTCGCGCAGCCAGCGCGTCCATGTCGCCGGCTTTTCGTGGCCGTTCGATCGGCCGCGCGGACGGCCCAGATCGGGCGAGCCGCGGTCATTTTTCGAAAAAACCCTTCTGCTTTTCGGAAATCAACCCGCGATCCAGAGTCCCTCTCAGGATATTTTGCAAGAAACTCCTCAGATTTTTTTGAAATCAATCCGCAGTCCAGAACGGATGCCCTCCGGGTTTTTTGCAAAAAAACCCTTACCTTTTCCGAAAATCGACCCGTGCTCCACAGACCCTCTCACCATTTTTTGCGAAAACCTCCTCGGATTTTTCTCAAATCAACATACAGTCCAACTTTGATTATATCTTTTTTCCAAAAAAAAACGTTTGGCCAGTGCACCGCGCGCATGGGCGCGCCCGAAAGACTAGTAAATCTACAGTAAGGTAAAGGGAACGTATATAAAGGGCGTACCCAGTGCAAAGAGCTCCCGCTCTGTGCGGGGTCTGGGGAAGGGTGTTAGTGGCAAGCCTTACCCTCACCTGTGCAATGCGAGGAGACCGCGACTCAAACCCGGGACCTTCCGGTCACAGGCAGTAAGACTCTACCGCTTACACCAGGCCCGTCCTTCGTAAAGGGAACGTATATATAGAAAATAATAGCCAAATCGAATCTGGAATTAACATTTTTAGTATTGTATATATAGGAAATAATAGCGAAATCGAATCTGGAATTAACATTTTTAGTATTTCATCACCATGGTTTCTGTACGAATTATAGCTTCACAACAAAACATAAAAATAAACAAAGAAAAGGTGCATGCGTTTAGCTTCAGCAACACAAAAACTGCAGGTATTAGGAAACACCTAAAACATAGGAGTAACTGAATGGCACTAATCAGTAATCAACTAATCACACAGGATCAACCAACTTTGCTCAGATTATGATTAGACTCTGAATTAAGATTATGCCTGTTGTGAAGCAGTAACATTTAGTCCTATCACCAAACATAATGAATTATCTCTAATTAATTATTCTTTGTTGCTACACCAAGCAATTTACTTTCTATGCCTAATAATTCACATTAAGGCTGATCAAGCTGATAGAGTAGAAGTCTGAATACAGACACAAGCAGAATAATCCAAGCAGTTTAGTCTTTTAAATCAGAGTACTAAGTAGTACTTATCCAGAAAGAGCTCAAGGGTTTGACATGCACTCGGACTGATGGAGTGATCATTTGCACAACAGCTCAAGCCTTATCTCAATTGTTGGTTCTTCATTTCTTTATAATAATCACTGTATATTGGGGTAAGTTCAAAGAACGTCCAGCCAAGCGAATCATCAAAACCAGAACATATGTTGGCAGCATTTAGAATAGTGATATGTAATGAATTTCATAAAATTGTATTGGGGGTAGCATACGTGAACAATTAGCAAACAGTGCATATTGTACGTGCCTTTTTATCATACCATGATTTTGCATGGACGGTGTCGAAGTTGGTAGGTGAAGAAGATTTTTAAGAATGGACTTTACCTGTTAACACACAGGGGTATTAATCAGCCAGGAGGAGAATGAGTTGACAGGATGGGATTCGATGGATATCCTGATCACCAAAACCAAACAAGGATTCAGACAAAAAGGCTGGCATTCTTTCAGTTCTATATAGATAGAGTCAAGGCCGTGTATTAACTCGATGTATTGATCTTCCAAAAAAAATATAGATAGAGTCAAAACATGGTATAAGGAAAACTGATAGCTAAATATAGAATGCATTATCCGGTCAACCCAGGTAGAGAACATGTAAACTTCCCAAATGCAGCTATCTTTGATTGGTGCAGTCATAGAATCACTAAAATTTGCAGATACAGATCTGAGCACAACCAGAGATAAATGGCTTAATTTTCATAGGTACAAGCCTACATATATATTTCACAAGTACAAGGAACTATATCAGTTTCTGAATTCTAACTGAAAAAATTTACTCACGATCTATTCGAGGCATCATGAAAAGCAGCAATGATGTTAATCATCTTAGGTCCTGCTTGCCCACCATCTAGCCAAAACACTCCATCAGGGAGATTCTTGCTCTGCATTGTGATGCGTATCTGAAAAACTATTGTGGGCACAGATATACCTTAGCATCTCTATGAGCATATCAAAACCAGCACCTGCATTAAATAAAAATACAAAAAAAAATGTCACTGAATCAAGTATGTGGTAAGACCAAGCAAATCAGCCCTCGAATGACTAAGAGATACCTTTTACCCAGCAAGGAGTATTGACAATCAGTGGCAGCATTTCATTGTCATCGCATCGTTATTTTCCAACGAAATAGTCATACAGATGGAATAGAAAATTAATTTAGATATGCTTCTGGATCTCTTTTTGAAGAAATGTCACCAAAAAGTAGCACCTAATCAAATTTGTAAATGGCATTAGTGAAACCCAAGCAGGGATAACATAAGTGAGGAAATATTAATCAAAACATTTCGTCAACCAAAACTTTAAAAGTTACATGGTCGTGCTAACAAACTACTACAATTGTTCCGGTAAACAGTTGAAGAAATCCCACAATAGAAATTGTGCACAGATCCTGAAGTGAAGAAATTAAGTGAAACAAACTGCTACACTATCAGCTAATCACAACTTTAATATACCAAAAAGCCAAATGAGAGGCGAAATTTTACACCTTTCAGCTTCCTGTTTGCATAGTAGGCTACAGCACCGTGAGATCAATTGTGGAGTACCAATGGAAATCGTTTGGCATTATTTTTTTCATGCTACCATTGAATTTCTCAAATTGCCAAAGAAATAAAATATTATATTTTCCGATCTACTGATTTTATCTAATTGAGGAAAGAAAGGAATCCAATTTTACAAACAGGATACACAACTTAAGCACATTTGGGAGGGTAATTTGGGAAAACGAAATCGTTAAATGGAACCACGAAGGAGATGCCTCATTTGCGGGCTCATTTACGGGGTGAAGGTGCTTCCAGCGACGTGGATCTTGCTCTCCTCGCCCTCCACTCTCTCCAGACACCAATCGACGAGCACAGTCTAAGAGACTCGGCGAAGGAACACATCAGCCCACCGGACAGTGCAGCGCGCAAAGACGAAAAATGAGAGACGGAGGGTGAGAGGCGCGTACAAATTTCTGCGCGGCGCGGGGGACGGACTGGGCGGAAAGCGCCGCCGGTGGAGACCGGGGGGACGGCCTGGGCGTAGAGCGTCGCCGGGATCCGGC